ATGGATGTTAATTGAAAGCAAATAGAATTCTTCTGCATTATTGCTAGTCATCAAGATAGCAATGGAATGGGGAGTCAGAAATAAGTCAGAAAAAAATAGAAATGAAGGCAACTTGTCGAAACTGAATTAGACAATTGTCTGAATGAAATCAGAACTCAAAAGCATATCTGGCTAAGAAATATACATTTGATGCTGACTTGACAGTTTAACAGCTGGAAAATGCACTGTAATGTAAACCATAGAGTGAAGTTTTCCATCAGATTTCCCCCTTAACTCCACTGGACCAGCACCAAGTGTCTGAGTGTACTTGTGAACTGTCCTTGGCTCTACCTTGGTTGTATATTTCCATGGTTTGAAATATAAAGCTTTCTATCTCTTTGGGAAGCTACAGCTCTTGAGCTAAAGCATGCACATTTTCAGATGTCTTTCTCTCTCATCATTCCAAGGGACCCCTAATCTATTCAAGTTTTTATGCTTTCAGACCGTGTTTGCCGAAATGTAGTCATGCTGGCAATCTTTCAGCCAGCAAAGACCATTTGTCTATCCTTGTTCTCATTCTCCCTCCTCCCATACTTGATTCTGGCACAGTGCTTGGGGCCCCCTCTAGCCTTTTGTAGGGAGTAGAATGAGAAGACTCATCATAGTACCACAAAGGGGAAATAAGCCAGTAGCAGACAACACCAAGAATCCATGTATAGCTAGAGCTCTGTGATTGTTGCAAGTACTACCAACATGCAGGTGGATTTTCAAAGGCATCCAGTGATTTTGTGAGGTTGAGTTGTGATATCATTGAAAGGCTGACTATTTTGCAATAGACTCTTGTTTTAGAAATAAGTGAAGAAAGAAATGGTACTGGAAATAAACACTGCAAATTTTCAACTTAAGTCCATTTAAGTTATGAGAAAGCATTTTTCTCTCCTACTCCCAAATTGACTCTTCTCATGCTTGTATTTCTGTGAATCTGTTTTGACTGGGTTATGAAAAATATGGGGCAGGTATGTTGCAAAAAGTAAAGACATTGTTCTGTATTGTAACCAAATTGGCTTTGTTGAAGACAGTTATCTCTTCACAATGTAATGCTAAATGAAGTACCTCAGGTCTTTTGAGAATTTAACCATACTGATATTTCAGGATTTGGCATTGCAATGTTTCTATTAGAGGCAGGGTGGGGGAAAAAAAAAAAAAAAAAAAAAAAAAAAGTCTTACACGGAGGAAACGGTAATTACACCTATTCTTTCATTTTTCAAAGACTGTGAGAAGGGTTGGTAGTTTTCTCAGTCATTGCAAAAATATTTTTGAAAGACACCAACTCAAAACTCGAGAGAGGAAGATAGACAAGAATTGATGTTTCTGAAATAAGAAAGTTTTCATAACAGGAAAAAAAAAAGAATCAGATGGTATTTTAGCAACTGTTTTGGCATATATTTCAATGATCTTATAGCTCATTGAAAAGCTGAAAAAAAAAAAGCTGATGTGATCTCCTTTACAAATTTCCTTTGGAAGAAAATACTTCATATAATGCATTCTACAATCATTTTTTTAATTGTTAGCAAGCAGTGTTGTCTGGGAACAGCATCATACATACAGCTGTATTTATATACAATGTGTACAAAAGCACAGTAAACAGACACTTCCAAAATGTGCATACTGGGTTAGCAATACAGCTAGTAAATCTCGAGACCTTTTCCCCCACACCATACTACAAGAATTTGAGAGCAGGCATACACAATTTAGGTTACTTACTGAAAACAGGCTCTGAGTTTTAGCCCTGGGTAATAATGAACCAGAATTGTGCTGATTTCCTGACAAAAAGGAATTATAATCTACCTGGGAATACCTTCCCCACACAATGAAAAAGCACAGGATGTAGCTTGCAGTTCTGCCAGAAGGCAGACTCATGCTGTCCGTACCACACATAGCAATTTAAGACACTGAGCGAAGAGTATGAATTAAACACAAGCATTAAATCTACTATAAATTAGATTATTTTTCTGGTAGGATACCTGTATCATCTGGTAATGTCCACATCAGACAAATGTTTTCAGGAAATAAAAAACCACAATGGATTTAGAAGTCCTATGAAAAATTATGCTGTGTAGAGAAATTGCCAAACAAAATGAGAAGTAGGGAACTGGGGGAAAAAAAAAAAAAAGTAAGAGGGAAACTTGATCACAGTCAATGATTGTCACTATAAAAGGAAGAATTTAAGCTTTTGTTTTATGGGTGTAAAATATCCGTAAGTAAAAATGATTCAAGATTGGTCAGAAGAGAGGAATCAAAAACTCTGTCTGGCAACCAGGAAGAATTAGTTGTATAAAATTAAAGCAGAGTTCTGAGAACATGTGGGCTCACACGGAATTAAGGCATGGAAAGAGAGAAGAAGCAAAATGGAGAAAAAGAAGGATGAGGCAGTGTTAGGCAGATATGCATGACAATTTCTTAAACTATTACAGATAGATTTACAAGTTCATGTCAGTCTGCTCATTGGTGTAAAGTCTTCCAAGGAGCCACTGAAGCCACAGGACCACTGCAGTCTGCTAGGGCAGGCAGTACGGAACTGGTCTACACTGAACTTCATAAGGTTTCTCATTTGAACACTACACACAAATTTGTCTACACAACATAGTATAGATCTCACCAGCTGGACTATGGTGGTTGACATTCAGACCTTCAATCTGTTACTTTCCCTGTTTAGTGCTAACAATTGGGGATTTTTTTCACGTAATTACCCAAAATCACTTACAAATTACATCAATATACCTTCTTGTTACTTTAAAAATTGGGGCAGGGATATAACTAACCTTGAAGGTAGGGGAACTGGGAAAGATTTTGAACTTCAGCTCATTCCACAGAGTTACAAATAGAACTAAATATCAGCAAGTGCATTAATAAGGACAAAAAGAACTGTAAACTGCTACACTGCATTAGCACTTCAGTTTTTGACATTATAAGACTGGCAACTAATTCTGAAATCCCATCTCAATTTCTAGTGTACTTTCTACTGTTCACCTTAGAGAAGTCACTGAAGTACAGGCTACAGTGTTGTGACAGAAATAGATCTACTCTGGAGCAGTTCCACCCCATTTGAAAGAAAAATATATTTAAAATTATATCTGCCTCATGAACTAGTCATAAAAATCTACTTTCACAAGTAGTCTGCCATTACTGTCTGTTCTAAGAAGGGCATTGTGAGTATCTCCTCTTTGGACCTCAGACCTAGAACAGACCCTGCCCCAGCTAACCTCTCACCTGGCTTGGGGAATGGTTATTAGTCTGACAGCGTATGAGGGAGAATCAACACCAACCCCATCAGCTCTTTTAGCAAGAGCTGGTGCAGCCCAGAGACAGATTAGAAACTTTTATATGGGTAGCCTTACATAAGTTTTTGCAGCAACAAACTTCAGTCATTGTGTCTACTTAAAAAAAAAAAAAAAAAAACCACGCAAAATGAGGCATTTGAAAGATGAACTGCTTTCTTTTGGTCTGAAGGACAGCTTTGCAAGTCTTGGATAAGGTATCCCCAGAAGAAGAGTGTGAATGAAAAGGGAGAGCAATAAGCTCTCCTAGCAAATTCATTCTGGACAGGAAGGTAATTGGTAGCTACAGTCTCACCCACCATTCTCTGCTGTTTTAATCCCAGCTCTGCATTGACCACATACCTTGAAAATGTACTCCTGGGAATACTGACAAATGCGCAATGTCCCTGGCACTGGGATGACTCACAAAATATATTTGTAAATCCTTTTTATAGGCAGTCCAGTTAGGATTTTCAGAAGTGCATTGACTATTTATGCACAAGGGCCTTCAGGAAAAGAAAAAGTGTCTTTTAAAGCTGAGATTTTTCAATAGTACTTCGGTTTTGTTTAGACTGGTAAACAGTGTGTGCAAGAAGAGTAAATCTAGGAAACATCTGGTACTGAGCAACCAATGCCAGCTACCTGTGTTTCATTTCTTGGGGGTTATTTCAAACTAGAACTTGTCTGGTCCCATGGGCTGGATGATCATTAGTGATCAGAGTATGTGAGGTGTGTTCCTGCAAGACTTCCTTCAGTTTGGTTTTGTCCAGCAGTAATCTGTGTTCTGCACTCTGAGACTGCTCTGAGCTGTATGAAGCTTTGCCACAGACCCTCTCTGAAAAAGCCACTCAGAACTTTACCTCTTTGAATGTTCAGCTACCTCATTACACTTAGCCTCCTTCTTAGCTGTGTACTGATATCAGCAAGATTAGTTAGTAGTAGCAAATATAAAGCGTGTAGACACTCTAAACCAATGATGTCATAGATTTAACAAATCAGAGAAATGAGCTTTCAGACACTGAGTTCCAGAGAACATGCATGTTGCATACAACACTTTTGAGGTGTAATCACAAAAAGAATGTAATTTTAGCAGATAAACTTTTGACCTCAACAGCAAACAGAACACCAAAAAGTAAATTCTCATCATGTATGTCTGTCAAAGTGAAAGAACAAGGCAGATCTAAATGAGGTAAAGATCTGGCACTCGATACTTGAATATTTTTTAATCTGAGACTAGAATCCATGTACTGCAACGGCTCCTTAATTGGGTCAAAAAATGCCTACCAGTCTTAATGAACAATGCTTGTACACACAGCACAGCTAAAATCATCAAAATCTATTAGAGTAAGACATAAGCTTGGATCAATACTCAGTTAAAAATATTTTTCAGATCAGAAAATCTATACTTTTTTAAAGCAATGTTAGATGAGCTACGCTAATATTCAAACCATTATTTTTCATTCTCATATGTTAAAGATATATTATCATCTCCTTTAAAATACAACCTGAAGCCAGACAGTTTTGTTTTCTCAAGAAAACATACTCTTCATTTCTATCTAAAAGTAAGACTAGGTGTGAAACAATTTCACACTGGGCAGACTTTAACAGACCCTCTGTTCGGAGAACTCAGATGGTCTAAGCATATGAGAGCCAAAAGTGAGTTACAAACTGCAGGAGAAAAGTGTGTTCCGCAGTCAAAAATCACACCTATTAAATCATAACGACATTTCTTGTTTCAAGTTGTGCCCATTCAGTTGTGTCATGCTAGTCACTGTGTTCCTGGTATTGCTTTTCAGGGAAGCCATCTGAATGGCAGAAGAGTTGCGCAAGTAGCTGGCAGATCTCTCTTGCCGAACTTTCCTCCTGCAGCGAAGCTGGTTGTTGAAATGTCTTCTAAAACTCTCACTGAGAAAATACAGTGCAAATGGGTTGACACAAGAGTTGCAGAAGCTTAACACTCGGGCCACTAAGGTAAGAACCATATGTCCTGTCGACGGATCAATCTCATTGTGCTTAAAAGATCGGTACATGTATAGCACGTGGTTAGGGAACCAGCAGAGAGCAAAGAAGCCAACAAAAACTAAAACAATTTTTGCCAGACGTTTCCGAGTTTCCATCTAAAAAGATGAAGAGAACCCAAATGAACAACAATGAATAGAACTGCTCCACATAACAGATTTAATTAAAACATGTAGCATTTTGCTTTATATCCGCTTTAACTATCATAAGTAAGGCCAGTAAAAATACTTCCTTCAGGGGCTGAATTACTTTTTCAATCTCATTTACTTTCCCACCTTTGGTTTACTTTCAGTGCAAGATCCTATCTGTTTGTAGTTACAGAAGGTTGCTCTTTCTATATGATATACACAGCAAGAGTGATTCATGACCTGAGTAAACACTGGCTTTTAGCCTGAAAGCACACATCAAAGGATGTCATGAAACATAACCTTTTCTGATGAGATCTCAGTGCTTGGCTTGAAACTCAGCTTTCATTAGAAAGCTATTTAGAAACCCTTGGCTTTGAAATCTAGAGACATTGTGAGTGAAATCTAGAGACATTGCTAGGGTGTTAGCTATACAATGGTACTTGCATCCCATTATTTTTCCCGAAATGTCTCAGCTTGGACCTCTCTCCTAGACAAACCACCAAAACTTCATTGCACAGTCTGAAGCATCATAATTCCAGGGTAAGGTGAAAGGTTTAGTTAATCTTCAATAATGACATGAAAGAGATGTACCTTAATTGCAGTGCTGAAGTATAATGGATTACAGTGTAGATATTAGGAGTGGCTGAAAAGTTGACAGGAAATGAGCCTACACAGAGGTTCCAAACTGAGAGAAGAAGAGAAACTGGCCAGGTAGAAAGCACCAAAGAGAGGCAGAAACTTTCCATATATTCCTCCCAAAAAGATTTATTATGTATGTCAGGTATCAAAGTTTTGCAAAGGCAGGAAAGTTTCCTGGCTTTGCTCAATTTTCTGAAAAACAAGTTAATTTATTCTAATGGGGTTTCAAAATCTGTGAAATAAGTTTGTCAGTAGTTTTCTTGGCTCTATCTAAACCAAACCCAGTGGGGAAAAGACAGGAAAACTTTAACATCCCAATTTGGTAGGATTTGCACTCAGATTGCAAAGGCAGACTAAAAGGTGCAGAGATACAGTGTGAATGTTACTCTTTCATGCTATGGCCTAAAGAAATGTGAGTTGATAGCACCAGTCTGAATTTACTTCCTCTTGCTGGGAGAAAAAAAAAAAAAAAAAAAAAAAAAAAAAAAAAAAGGTAGAATGAAAACAATATGTTCTTACTCTGAAAATACATATGGGTTCAGAAATGTGATACAAATTAAATACTGTTTCCATCCTGAGGGTTCAGCCAAAAGTCTCTATATTTCACAAGAAAATAAAATAATACATGAAGTGCTAATACGTATGCATTTTTTACAAGAAACAGGCTACAGTAGAAATGAAATGCTGAGCAAAAAGGACATGAGGGAATGTGGTCTTTCTTTTTAAAAGAATATGTGCATGCTATATATGCAAGGACATTTTGGTGAGTATAAAAGTATTTTCTAAAATATTGACAGAGAAAGCCCTTCCAAATTGTTTTAATGGGCATAAGTATTTTTCTCTATCAATACTAATGCTTTTGTAAAGTAGTTGACGTACATTCACTGCAAAAGCAAAGTAAAAGTCTGTATACATAAATGTTCCTGCTAATGAACAGCCTGTTCCTACTTATTGCTTCCTGTGTCTTACAGGGAAGCTGGCTTTATCAAATGTTTTAAAATGCTTTGTCTCGAAGGAATACGGAACCTATACCAAAAGTTTTATAGCATCTATTATAGACAGGGTATTAGAAAAGTGCAAGTTGAGAATTGTATCCAAGAAAGAATATTTGAGAAAGCCAAAAAAAAATCATTTCATGCTCTGTGTTCATATTTTCAGTGCTCCTTGGCCTGAGAAGATCCCCTAAGAAAAATTTTCTCTATGTCAGTTTTTTAATTTCCAAGCCCAAATAAAAAAGGAAGAATTCTCAAAAAGTTCAGGTAAAATTTCTTCCCAAAATGGCTGCCTATAGAGATAGGTGAAGCACTAGCATTAACTACAAAAATGTTGTTCCTCAGTAAGGACACAAGTGATGCTTACAGTTAACAGCACATACAAACAGATATACAGGTCCCATTTCCTGTTAGAAATATGCACTGATGGCATTGAATTTATATTTTTCATTGCTCATGTTCATTTACATACCGGGTTTAATACTGAGTAATTGTGAAAACAAGGAGATTTTTCAGATAATCCTCAGCTTAGTTCATGCATGTGAAAACTGAACTAATCATCTGCAAAATCCAACAAATTAGAGGTTATAGTTCCTGTACTTTCATTTATAAGTGTACACAGCACATAAATCTTTCATTGAGATGTAAAAAGCAAATTGCTTACCTGTCTTTTGCAGTGCTCACTGTATTCTCCAGGGATGTTGTGAGCACTTTTTATTAAACTCTTTGCAATATGATAGTAGTAAATACTAATAACGGCAAGAGGGATAAGGAAATACACAAGAAAAATCAGCACAGAATGGATCTTCGGGTGCATGTCGTCTGTCATGGGGTATGGTATGCATGCTGTGAATGTGGCATTATCCGTGTCATTGATGTGGGCCAGTTCGGAGAACACTGCTTCAGGAACTGCTAGGAGCATGGAGACTACCCAAATGGCAACGGCTTTAAGACAGGTCCATAGCACTGCACTGGAGGTCTGGATGTCCATGGGATTTACAATTGCTTTGTATCTGAAATTAATCAAAATGCAGATATAAATTAAAAGGTATCTCTTTAAATTCCACATGATGCTTAAGGCCACTTCCTATCTTTGATTAAAATAATGTCATATTTTGTTCTTATTTGAAATGTCAAGGAGTTTTAAATCTTTCTTAAATTTGTATTCTCTAAATCTCTAGCTTCATCTGTTATATATATCCATCAGAGGTGGCAAAAGGAGCCCTGGATACAACCTGTGCCAGCCTGATGGAAGTGCAGAAGCAGCCATGACTCTACTCTCTTTCTGCAAATCCCACCAGCAAATCCCCGAATGCACATCCTACCTCCATATTTCCACCTCACTCTTGTATCAGCACTTGCACACCAGAGTTCGCTTCCTTCCTCAGCTCCTGCAGCCCAGGACTCCCTCCTGCCCACCACCACGCCTTCCCCACTCTCAGACTCCACCAGCCTCCCTGAGAGCGCAGGGCAATTATCAGCATTAACTACCTCTTGCCAGACCAGCAACAACCACGGCCATGGTGGCTCTCGCCTTTCCACCCCAGCACCTTTCTACACACAGATACACTGTTCCAGCTGTAACGCCTTTTTCATAAAGTCAGGCAGGAATGACTACTAATGGCCTGTGCAGACATATTAAACTCTTAAATAAACATTTCCACATCGATAGTTTGAAGCTGCTGCTCTATATATCACATTTTGGGAAACTGTCTCATGATTACATATAAATCTTTGCAGAACTGATAAATTCATAACCATTGCAATGAAAACAGGAAGCATTGCAGAGAATGGAAATATCACACTACAGTAGAGTAAAAAAATGACTAGAAGTAGACTCTAGTCAGGAATTATTTTCTTGAAAAAAAATTGTTGTAGGACGTGATAAGAAGTGAAACTTTCCTCAAGAAAAGGTCAGTTTTAAAAGGGCAAATATACTTTGAGAAAAATATTTCAAGGATACTTTAATGTTTTGCTTAGATTTTTAATTTATTTTGAAAATTTTTTTTCAAAATGTGAATTAATTATGTTTTAATGTTCTTATAAAAACTAACCATTAAACAAACATTTCCATTTGTCTAAGATGTGGAAATTTGGAAGGTTGGGGGGTTTTTGCTTCATTTTTTGTCTTTCTAGTTTTGTTTGATTTGGGATAGGTGGGTTTTGGTTTTTTTTTTTTCTGAAATTGAACAAGTTTTGAGAACTGGCAAAATTATTTCTCTCTGTCTAAAGAAAAGTTTAAGAGGAAGAAGGAATTCAGGAGAGTTTCATATTCCAGGTATATAACTTTATTCATTTTAAGGTCAGATATACTTTCAAAGGGTGATTAAATCACTCTCTGAGGTGCTTGTTTTTTCTCTATTAGCTATACAATAAGCTTAGAGTGAGAAGAACTGTAACTTAGATGTCTCTCTTTGGTGATAAAACTCCTTATCCATTCACCTAGATACATATACACGCATATACAAATATAGAATTACAGAATCACAGAATGGTTTGAGTTGGAAGGGACCTTGAAGATCATCTAGTTCCAACCCCCCTGCCATGGGCAGGGACACCTCCCACTAGCCCAGGCTGCTCAAAGCCCCGAACAACCTGGCCTGGAACACTGCCAGGGAGGGGGCAGCCACAGCTGCTCTGGGCAACCTGTTCCAGTGTCTCACCACCCTCACAGTGAAGAACTTCTTCCTTACATGTAATCTAAATCTACCTCTTTCAGTTTAAAACCATTACCCCTTGAAACAACTTGTGAGTTTGCTGGCAATCAGCAGTGCAATTGGCTATGCCATGAAAATGGAGCAGACCACTGTCTTGGTACCCTAGCAAACTTTTTCTCCAGAGAATACTTGACTCAAAATGTGCCTTGGAGTCCTCTTTCTCAGGACCATGATAAACTCTCTTATCACTAAATAATTACAAATAATGTTTATTTATGTTCATCTCCTCTCTGAATTCAGAGAGAGTATTTTTACTGTGTCTTCACCCATATCATGGAGTAGAAAATAAGTTTACTGTCTCTGTTAATTTATGTTTACCATTTCTTCTAACACACAGTAAGAAACTCCCTGGACACCAAGGTGTAAAGAAATCCTTTATACTGCCATAGGAAGGATAGAAGCTTCTGCACAAAGCATGATTGCTCCCCAGCACAAACTGTGACCTTATTATTCAATAATTTGCTTCCTATTGCTGTTTGTCTTGATTTCATTACATAAAGACAGACCTTCTATTCCATTTTGTTCAACTGAGGTGATGTCGAGTCCTCATATCTGCTCATTTATTTAAAACTTTACATTCCTGGGGAAGAGCTGGTTTGGGGACTTTGGATAAAAATCATGTTTTGTACTATATATGTTTCCCCCTCTTCCCATTACAGTGCTTCAAATTGTTTTGATCACAGGCCTATAACCCAAGACAATGATCATGTCACAATTAATTGTTTTAGCAGCATTTGGTCTGATTAGTATCTAAACAGGAGACCTTTCCAGAAGCCTTTACATTAGCAGAAGATGGGGCATATATTTGTTCCTTGGCATATATCACTGTTTAGCAAATAGCATGCTTTCCCCTGAGCTATGACTGACTCCAAGATGAAGTGCATTGGAGCAGAGTGCCCTTTTTCACAAAAACAGCTGGGTTCAGCCCAAAAACCTTCTTCCTTAATCCTATTAAAATTCTCCTTGCTACTTCAGTTGACTACAAGATGGCACTCTTCTTCCTAGGACTCAGGCCTGTGCAGTACTGTGTCAATGGGAAGGAAAAGGCACTAAGTGCTCTAAAAATCCATCATCTTGTTTATATATCTGAAAAGATATAGACTAGAAAGAGACAGGTTACAGATCAAATCAAATGTAAACTGAGTGAAATTAGAACTGTTCCCAAAATGAACACCCAGCCTCTTCCTTTGTATAACACCAGTGTAAGGCTAAAACATACCACCAACCATTTAAATTACAAAGTGCATATCTTCTATCAGTAAAACAACACTGGCAAATCAGAGTAAGGGTACAAATTATTTAGTCAAATTTGTAAGCAAAATCCATCTTTTCCCTTACTTCACTGACAAAAAAAGAAAATCATAGGTTGCCATGAAGTTCAGGGAATAATTATAAATATGCATTTGGTTTTAATTAAAAGCCTTCATGTAAATTCTGTCTTCCTATATTCTCTATCATTATCACTTCTGGAAAAGGCACCCCCAACTCTGGAAATACTTTTATAAGTTTTCTTTCTTCAAAGATGTGGTTTCTGCCAACAGACACAAGCACAAACTTGCCAATTCTGCAGATTGGTTTTGTTTATATAGCATATTTTCACAAATCAAGCTCCTCCCTGAGACACAACCTAATGAAATTGATGAAAAAAAAAAAGAATATCCTCTGCCTACAGAGTTATAACATGTTGCTACTTTCTAAACTCCAGTATAGCTTATCTGCTTTTCCCCATCTTGTATTTCTCAGCTCCCAATTAGAATGGAAAGCTCTACTCCTGTCTCTGCCGTGTCCACAACGCTTTCCCCTCTGACACACCTGACTTAAAAAGAACCTGCTCCATGTTTAGTCCCAAGCTGTCCCTCCACAGCAGTGCTACCTCTTTTTTCTAGAGCACTTTGTTGTGATGACCTTCAAAACCAAATTAAAAAGAAAAACCAAAACAACTAGACAATATTTAGGCAGCCCCTGGACTATGATGACAGTCCCAATATGAGACCACCACATCCAAACTAAGTAGGCAGCTTACATTTCTGTTGGTAATGGCCCCATGGCTTGTACTTAGTCCTGAATCATGCCTAGAAATTGTTTAGGAGAATACTGATTGACCCAGGTCAAAAACACACCACTGACTGCTCTAACAGTTTGACAAGTAGCTGACTTCCAGTGCTCAGGTTTATGCTTTGGCACTGTTGAATATGTTTTGGTGCATTATATATAAATATATACACACTATATATGTGCATATGAACATATGTGCATAGAATAAAACACACACTTGCAGGTGCCTGATTACAAGAACATCACCCAGAAGCCTTGTGCAATGGCTGGCCTACCCCAACCTGCTAGTTCCCTTTTATCTTGACTTTTAAATTAAGCAAATAGTAGTATTTCCCCTGCCGTGCATGTTGGGAGCTCCCTTGATCAGATCTAACCAGTTTTCATCTGAGCTTCATTAGGATCCTGAAACTAAGCACAGCAAAGTTGAGGAGCCTGATCTCAAAGTTGTGTTTAAATAATGGCTAGGGCATGCCAAAGTCATTAGCCTTCACAAAACAGCCAAGGCAAAGGCAGCTCTGGTACCTACCTCTCCAAGAACAAAATAGAACATTCAGCCAGCCAGGGTGTCTGGGAGTCACTGCCTAAGGCCTGCTAGGCAGTGACTCAAAACTGACATATCATCAATGAGGTGAGAACCTTACTCTTAGCAGGCTGCATCATACTAAACCCTGGATATAACATTTCCCACTGGAAAGTATAAGGCAGCTTAGCATGTGTATTCTCTTGGCTTGTATTGCCTTTCTGCAGAATTTACCTCATTCCAACACTAACTTGGAATTCTGGATTTTGGATTCTGAAATCAGTGTAGATGGAAAAAATAAGTACACACCACAGCAGAAAAAAAACAGGAACATTAAAAAATCAGAGAGGAAAAAATTTAATATAACAATCCTTAAAATACAATCAAACTTTGAACTGAAGCACAAACATGACACTATGTTAAAAAAAAACACATACTGTGAAAAGTAGATAGTTGGAAAAAAATGAAACAATCTTTGGGACAGTTGTGTGAAGGACAAAACTGAATCATATGAGATAGAATGACAACATAGCAGAATAATCCATTTCTCTCACATTCACACACACACAATTTTATTTGTACATATGCTCATATGAAGATAGAAATACAGAATTAAATCTACATGAAGCAGGTGTAATTATGCCAAGGTTTGAATGGATTGTTTGTCTCTCGTTTATTTGCTCTAACAAGTTGTGTCAAGTTAATTCAAAAACACACTTCT